CCAAAAGCAATAGAAAAAGTATTCTCAGGTGAGGATTAATAAAGAACCCCAAAACTAACCAAACAAATGAAACAGACACAAGAAAGAAGGCTGAGCCCCTAACCAGGGACGTCTCCCGACGGAGCAGGCGTCTCTGGACAGCAGCCAGCTGGCCGGGCAGCCCTGCGGACGCGCGCAGATGCCCTGGACGGTCCTCCGGGCGGCTCGGCTCAGCCACGCAGTGGGCCTGGCGCCCGACTCCGAGGCCCTCCTCAGCCTTCCAACGGGTCACCGCATTCCAGCCCCTTTGTCCTCACCGCCAGGTCCTCTGTTGCTAGGTCCTGAACACAACAGTACGTTTTCTGTTGACGATCAAAATGTGGCCGCCTTTTCTCCGCCGTGCCCCCTCCCCCAGCTTCCCAGGGCAGGCTATGTGCACTGACCGACCACCCAAGCCCACGCCCGCGCCCTGCGGGACTCCAGCCTCGCCTCCTAATCACTCTCTCCCCTGCCCCCAGAAATGGCCTCTAACATACCACCCGGAGGCAAGGACAGTTTAAAAGAGCGATGACAACATACCCCTGCAGGTGTCAGCAGAAGCAGCCAGGTTTAGTTATGAAAGACCAGCGACAGCCAGCACCTTAGGGAATGGCCCTTTCCGTGCGGGATCGGCCTTGCAGTTGAGCATGCTTGGACGCGGCGTCCATGAGCGGGGTCAATGCAAGATGCAGGCTGACCCCTCACTGTGAGAAACTGGCCTGAGGCGGGGGAGCGCACATAGGGCTGCTGTAAGAAGTGAGGCTACCTGCCCGGGCTGGTTTGGCTCGGTGGTTAGCGCATGGGCCCGCACACTGATGGGTCCTGGGTTCGATTCCAGCCAAGGGCACGCACCTCAGTTGCAGGCTCCACCCCGGTCGGGGCATGAGCAGGAGGCAATCAATTGGTGTCTCTCTCATGTCAATGTTTCTCTCTCTTCCTCCCGCTCTCTCTGTAAAGCAATGGAAAAAATATCCCCAGGTAAGGATAAAAAATAAAAGTAGGGCTGCCAAAAAGGCACATGGGCGGGGGGGCAGCCAGCCAGCACTCAGGACTGTATTTTATATACGAGTCAAAGTTCCACTGGGATCCTTTGCTTACAGTTTCTATGATAAGGAATTTATTCCAAGCAAATGGAGATATGTACCAAAAAATCCTGAAAACCCAGTTTAGAGAATACATCCAGTAAGCCATTTTATATCTTTATAGTGAAATATTACAGAGAAATTCAACACGATGTTGGAGATTAAATAAGGGGGAAAGTTTCCAATATTGTTAAAAAGTAGGTTTCAAAAATATGTGATTATATAACCTTGTTTGTTAAAAAACAAAAAGAGGGAGTTGGAGGGAGAAAGGGGAGGGAGGGGAGGAAGGG